ATTCTTATATGTCAACAAAAGTTAGATTTTATTTCCATCATTTACACTTTCAAAATAACAGAAAACAAAAAAATGGCGTCTGCAAAAGTTTGGGCACCCTGCAGAGTTAATATCTTGTACTGCCCCCCCTTTGGCAAGTATCACAGCTTGTAAACGCTTTTTGTAGCCAGCCAAGAGTCTTTCAATTCTTGTTTCAGGTATCTTTGCCCATTCTTCCTTACAAAAGTCTTCTAGTTCAATTCTTACAAAATATCAGAGATTTTTGCATCTTTCCTTGGCTTCTTTATGCACATTAATACAAATTTTTAGCTGGGGTGCCCAAACTTTCGATCCCTACTGTAAGGGATAGAAATCTATGGAATGGAAGCAAAAAGTAAACAGCTATTGTAAGGTAAATGGGGCTCAGAATCTAGACTTAGGGCTCGTTCACACTTGGCTTTTTTACCAAACGCACCTATAGCGTTTGGCAAGCGTTGGTCCGGCGTTTGCGGAGCGTTTTTTGCGGAGCTCGGCAAACGCTCCGCAAACACCGCATGCACGGTTTAGCGGCGGTTGCTAGGCGTTTGCCGAGCGTTAATAACGCCCCACAAACGCCTATAATGCAGTTTGAGTGGTGTTACCGCTCCGCAAACGCCCCGCAACCGCGTCGCCACCGCAAACGCCGGCCAGGCGTTTGCGGAGCGGCACCATAGATGAGAATAGGAGGCTTCAAAGCCTCCTGACTCGACCAGGGGCGTCCGTTTTGCCGCGACTTGATGCAAACACGCCCGTTAGAACAGCACCATGTGCTGTAATATGCAGAATTGGCATTTGCATTTGGGAAGCAGTAAAAAACGCTTCCCAAACGCCTCTCTGCCGCCTGCACACAACGCTAGTGTGAACGTAGCCTTATTCAAGGCAGTGGAATCCAAAAACTCCTGGTGCCAGCTGGTCTTAATGGGGTCAAGATTTGTTCTGTCCTCAATGAACTTGCCCCTACCCCCCCCTAGTGTCTGATGATTTTTGTACAGTCAGTGTCTGGCTCCTGTACAGGCCCAACATTGGGAATGAGGGCCTCTTCTGTTGCAGGTAAGTGGTTATTAAGTAGTACATGGGGGCCATATTCAGACAGCAATAAGTGTATACAAAGGTACAATCATTCCATAGTTATATATGTGCTCTTGTATTAATGAAGCAAGGTACCTGCTTGATGCGGCATGTAAGATGTTAATAGAAAGCAGACTTGACCCATGGCTCCTTCCTTTTGTGTGCAAGTTTTACTGCAGATGTTCTCTTTAGTTTTCACACTAAATAACAAGGTATGGTAACTAGCTCTGCAGAAGGTGGCAAGCAGCCATGATTTTCAAAAAGGAGCACCTGCGTGTTTTTTTGTGGGTAAATCGCGTAGGAGGAAATTCAGAGCACTAAACAAAGTGATAATATCCTAATCAAAGCATTAAATAAAACAATGTGACAGCCATCAGCCCAAAGCTCCCATGTTTAAAAAGCGCACCTGACAGATTTCTGTAAATGTAAATGCCAACAATTTAACAAATCACTGACGCACTTGTTACCGATCTGCCAGGCACTCACAATATCATATCAACTATATTAGACATAATGCTGTGTTCTAGGGAAACCGGAGTATGTTGAACTACTGTATTATTGTGATGTTTACATAGCATTTAGTTTCTCCTCACAACTTTCCCATCTTTACATGCTATTATAAATGTCTGTTTTGCATAGACCCCACTAGGGGCTATTTTTGTTAGTGTCCCCACTGGAAAATTTTCTGTCACTTCCTTTGTGACAAAAACTAAAGGTAAATCTCACAAACATGGACAAAGGCTGCAATATAAATCTGATAGAGGCTGTATCCCTTCCCTACTGTATTCAAGCCAAAAAAAACATGCCTGGAGTTGGTCTTTAACTGCTTCCCACCCAGCCTATTGTAGGTGGGGAGCTCTCTGGTTCTGGCTGGACATCATATGACATCCTCTCAAGAACGCACCTTGCATCGGACACAGAGGATGACAGATCAGTGTACCAGGCTGCTGCCGGTATCATGTGATCACTGTGACCAATCACAGCAGATCACATGGCAATTGTACACAATGGATGGCTTCCATACATAGCTATTCATTGTGTACTATTGTGTTGCTTGTTGTGATTGATCACATTGTACAGACACACAATCACTGCCCATCTGTACCATGTGATTAGCCGTGGCCAGTCACAGCTAACCACAATACACATTCGATGAATGAATTCATCCACAACAAATGGCTGCATATAACAGTGATTATCACAAAAAAAAATCACTTCTCCACAGTAGTACAGTGTTGTTATGGTAACACTGTACTGCCCTGCTCACAGTATGTACAAAAATCGTAAAAAATAATTAAAAGGAAACAAAATGGAAAAACAAATATTGTTGTCCCCCCCCCCCCCCCCTTTTTTTTTTTTAACATGCTGTCACCAGCCAGTGTCCCAGATCATCACCACACCAGTTACAGTATTTTCTGGCGTATAAGACTACTTTTTATACTTAAAAATATACCCCAAAAATCGGGGGTCGTCTTATACGCGGGTTATAAAATGTGAACCTTGAGTTTGTTTGGGTCAAGCTGGCTGGATGTGTGGTAATACTGTACATACAGTATACTGTGCTGAGCCAAGCTGGCTCAAAACAAATTTCCCTATGACAGATTAATCTGTCAGCCCGCTGGATGTGCGGTATATACAGTATACTGAGCCAAGCTGTTTTAAAATGTACCGGTATGTCCCTACTGTAATCAGCCCGCTGGATGTGTGTATGTACCAGGGGCAGACTGACAACTCATGGGGCCCCCGGGCAATAGGGGATCATGGGGCCCCTGTGTCCTTGCCCAAACTCAAAAAAGCCTATGAAAAAGATAGCAGGGATATCTCATGGGGCCCCCTAGTGACCCTGGGCCCTTGGGCAGTGCCTGAGTTTCCAAATGGTCAGTCCGCCCCTGGTATGTGCATTACTGCACATCCAGCTATATTTACATATATTTGAAATGCTACTATTTTGGCCATATTCAGTATATTTAGAATATATATATATTTATATATATATATATATATATATATATATATATATATATATATATACACCATATGTTGAAATGCATTTTTACTACAAAATATATGACAAATATGTTTAAAAATACATTTCAAATATTTGGAATGCATTTACAAATATATGTTAAAATGACTTTTTTTATATGTTAAAAAAAATCTGAAGAATATATTTTAACCACAAGCCTACAGGACACTTATACCCCCTTCCTGCCCAGGCCAATTTCCAGCTTTCAGCGCTGTCACGCTTTGAATGACAATTGCACGGTCATGCAACACTACCCATATGAAATTTTTATAATTTTTTTAGCTTTATTTTGGTGGTATTTACCAGGGGCGGACTGACAACTCATGGGGCCCCCGGGCAATAGGGGATCATGGGGCCCCTGTGTCCTTACCCAAACTCAAAAATGCCTATGAAAAAGGTACCAGGGGCATTTAATGGGGCCCCCTACTGACCCCGGGCCCTCGGGCGGTGCCCGAGTTTCCAAATGGTCAGTCCACCCCTGGTATTTACTCACCTCTGGGATTTTTATTTTTTCTTAAACAAACCAAAAACCACTGAAAATTTTGAAAAAAAACGTTTTTTCTTCGTTTTTGTTATAAAATTTTGTAAATAAGTGATTTTTCTCCTTCACTGATGTGCGCTAATGAGGCTGCAATGATGGGCACTGATGGGCTGCACTGATAGGTGGAACTGATGGGCATTGACAGGCATCACTGATGGGCACTGAAAGGCAGCACTGATATATGGCACTGATAGGTGGCACTGTTAGGTGGCACTGACTGGCACTGGTAGACGGCACTGACTGACACTGCTAGGTGGCACTGATAGACGGCACTGACTGGCACTGATAGGTGGCACTGACTGGCACTGATAGGTGGCACTGATTGGCCGCACTGATGGGTGACACTGAAAGGCAGCTCAGATGGGCACTGATATGTGGCATTGATGCGGCACTGATGGGCACTGGCACGTGGCACTGATGAGCACTGACACAAGGCACTGATGGACACTGACAGGTGGCACTACTGGGGCTACACTGATCATCAGGGCACACTGATCATCAGTGCCCTGATGATCTGTGTACATGTCCCCTCCGTGGAATGCCGATTACCGGCTCTCCTCTCCTCTGTCAGCGTGACAGCTCGTGAGGAGATAAAAGCCGATAACCGGCATTTCCCTGTTTACATGTGATCAGCTGTGATTGGACACAGCTGATCACATGACCGAGCCGACATCTTCGGCTCTTTCCGTGGATCGGTGATCTGCTGTGTCCGAGGGACACAGCGCACCGCCGATCGCTGCGCTGCGTGCTCCCTGAGCCGCACATGCGCGGTGAGAATGGAAGGACGTCATATGACGTCCTCCCAGAATGAGAACCACCTTGCATCCATCATATTACTATATCGCGGGTGGAAGGTGGTTAAAAAATATATATTTTTAAAAATGTTTTTTTTTAAATATATTCTTCAGATTTTTTTTTCCTCTTCCATTTGGGTTACCACAGTTTTACCAATAGAAGGCACTTTTTTGAGTTAATACATACTTGAATAGGATTGTTTTTAGCGTCACGCTAAGGCTGGCCATACATCATACAATTATCTTGTATAATTTTCCTTTAGATTTACCAAAAACCATATAAAAGGAGGTCAAACCTGAACAACACTTTCAATTGTATACAATTAGGCAGGCCCTTGCACTACGTAGTTTGAAAGTAAATCTAAAGGAAATTGGGCAGAAATTGTATATAAAATTGTATAGTGTATGGCTAACCTAAAGTTTATATCCATCTTTAGTGATTGGGTTTAGGTGAACCTAAAGGGTAATTAAATGTGCTTTCTGACTGCGTCCTTGTTAGCGGTTCACTGATTGACAGGGGCACTATTTCCTCCCACTGACCCACAATGGGGCACTATTCCTCCCACTGACACCAATGATGGGGCACTATTCCACCCACTGACATCAATAATGGGGCACTATTCCTCCCACTGACACCAATGATGGGGCACTATTCCTCCCACTGACACCAATGATGGGGCACTATTCCTCCCACTGACACCAATGATGGGGCACTATTCCTCCCACTGACACCAATGATGGGGCACTTTTACTTTCCACACTGACACCAATGATGGGGGCACTATTTCCTCCACACTGACACCAATGATGGGGCACTATTCCTTCCACACTGACACACCAATGATGGGGTACTATTCCTCCCACTGACACCAATGATGGGGCACTATTACTCCCACTGACACCAATGATGGGGCACTATTCCTCCCCACTGACACCAATGATGGGGCACTATTCCTCCCACTGACACCAATGATGGGGCACTATTACTTCCACACTGACACCAATGAACTTGACACAAATGAAGCGGGCACTAATCATTTCACTGACATCAACCATGGGCACTATTCCTCCCACACAGACACACAATGTTGGGGCAACTATTCCTCCCACACAGACACAAATGAATCGGGGGGGGCACCATAAATCTTTCCACTGGCATCAACTATTGGGGCACTATACCACCCACAGTACACTGAAACCAATGATGTGGGCACTAATCCTACCACTGACACCAATGATGGGGTACTAATTCCACCACACTGACACCAATTATGGGGCACTATTCCTCCCACTGACCCCCAATGATGGGGTAATATTCCTCCCACTGACACCAATGAATGGTATTGGTCACTATTACTATCCACTGAACCACAATGAATGGGGCACTATTCCACCTACTGTGGGAGGAATAGTGTCCCACAACCATTGTTGTCAGTGGAAGGAATATATGCCCCCACCATTGGGTGTCAGTGGGCGAAATAGTGTCCCACCGTTATTTCCAGTGGAAAGAATATTGCCCCGATCATTGCTGTTCAGTATGTGGAGCACTAATAGTGAAGAGGTTGAGAGCCTAAAGAGGAAGGGGTGAATTTTACGAGACAAAGGGGTGTACCTTAAAGAAGCAAGGGGTGGGACAACATTTAGATGCGGGGGGGTGGGGTGCCCATTTTTAGTTTTTTGTTTAGGGCAGTAACAAAACCAAAATACACCTAACCTGACCTCATGGTAAGTTGACTAGTATTTTCAAAAATGAAATCCAGGTAACATCCCTATTGGCTTTTTTGTGGGGTGGAGCGGGGTATTGGGAACGAATAACAGAATGCAAAGCACAGCGCACACTAACTGTTGGTTTTGTGACCCATGCTAACAGTGGGAGGGGCCTAAGAGGGTATTTGATAAAAATGACACCATAGGCCAAACGTTGGCTCAGAGTCCAAGAGTGCTGACGCCAGAGTGTGCATTGGCAGGTCACCGTCTCAAGCAATGGCAAGGCAACAAATAATCCCACAACCCAACTGACCCACATATGAACGTCTGCACAAGACATGAGAGGAAGGATCTGGGGCCACCGATATTAATATTGCCATGTGTAGATCAGCACTAAAGCCTGGCCACACCCCAAAATTGGGGACTAACATTAGGGACACACCCCATTTTTAAGATAGCCAGATATGGTAAAATAGGTCAAGGGGAAACCTTAGTTTCAGGTCCCTCCAAAAAAAAAAACAGCAAAAGATAAGAAAACTTATCACACATATATAAAAAATCTGGAGGGAGAAGTGCCAATAAAGGGTAAAAAACAAATGACTAAGGGGTCTTTCGCACTAAATCTTTCCCCCCTTTACTGTTTTACCATTTTTAGTCTCACCGGCCCTGTGTGGGGCTACAGGGGTGACAACAGTGAATTCCCTTTTTTTGGGTTTGTGAACTTTTGGAATACATTTTCATGTTTTTTGTGCAACAATACTCAGTACTCAGTAGAGTATATTTTCAACCATAGATGGCATTTTTAAAGGTTTTTACTGTGTAAAAGGTAAAATTCTAGGTCTTTTTTTGAAAAATTTTTCCTGTTTCCTTTTGGGGGTGAACAAAAGCCAACGGGGACTCAGTCTGCTCTTGCCTTTATTACACAATTTTCTAACGATTAGGCCAATCAAAATCGACTACAGAAAAAAAGTGCAAGATACAGCAACAAAAAAAAAAAAAGGGCCCCATTGCAAATAAAAATTTTTTTTCTATAAAAAACTGTAAAAAAAAAAAAAATACTGACACTTCCCAAAAGTATACAATTTACTAGGGGTAACAATTACTACTTTATCTATAAAATTATAAAAAAAAATATCTTAAAAAAGAGAAAATTTTTTTAATAAACTTTAAAATAATATATTTAATTTATAAAATAATATAATAAAAAAATTTATATATATTAAATAAATCAATGACAATTTTCAGAAACCCCATATTTTTGAACCTAAAATTTTTCCTACAGACAAAATAAAAAACACTCATTTGGGTTTTTTTCCCAAAAGAAATGTGCAGAATACATCTCGGCCTAAAATTTATAAAAAACAATTTTATTTGAAAACCCTTTTATAACAAACAAAGAAAAACTTTTTTTTTTTAAAAATTTTTGGCTTTTTGTTAATTTAGCAAAAAATAAAAAACCCCACGATATTAAATCCCACCAAAAGAAAGCTCTAGTTTTGAAGAAATTAAAAAATTTTATTTTGGTAAAATTTTGTATGCCCGTAAATTGTCATTAAAATGTGAAGCGCTAAACCTAAAAATTGGGCCTGGCGGGAAGGGGGTAAAATGCCAGATGGAAGGATTGGTTCATCACGGGTTTTCAAATTTTATATCCTTTTGGGGTAAGCTAATAGCCCCCTGATGTCTCCAAAAAGGGGGACGCATACTCTCAAATCGGGGGCTTTGTCAGTGCATACATACTAAATACAGGGTGGGACATATTACATATCTAAACACTATTACACGCCCCTACACACCCCAGAAGTAAAAACTTTTAGGCTGTTTTTTTAATTTATGGGTTCCTTTAAAATTTTGGATATCTTCATTAATTGCCTTTCGCAACCGGCAAAATTTACTATTTTAGCTAATCATCGGGAACTAAAACACCAAATGTGGCCTGTATGTAAAAGGTTTGATCCCCTCGGCATAAAAGGGATAAATAAAAACGGGAAAGAAATAAAAATGGAACATACCAATTTTTTTTATTGTTTTTTTTATGAAAGTAAAACCTTTAAAATTTGCTTCATGTACTCGATTAAAAAAGCCCTTGGGGTGAAATAAATTGGCCAAAAGTGGGATCTTGCATCCTCCGCCATTAAAGACACACTTTGACCAAAATGACGCCCCCACCACGAAAAAGGAAACCCCTTCCCCCCCTAGGCAGGCCCTTTCACAACTCCTACCCCCCTCCCAAATCTAGTCTCGTTTTTTAATGTTGGGTGTAGTTTTAGGGGGCCTCTTTTTTTAATCTGTTGGTGATCTATCTCTCCCATTTGGTTGTCACTCCTAAATATTAGCAGTCAGTTTTTACATGACGCCCTCGTTAGGACTTATGCCATCAATGTGTGTTAAAAAGTGTGTCTGAAAAGGGTGTCAGTCCTGCTTTACCTGGGACAATCCTATTTCTTTGCAATCTGAAGTTCTTTTTCTCTTCTTTAAAAAAATTTCTTGGTCTTCCGTTTTTGACAACGAAGGACTCCATCATCCTGTCCATCTGTGCATACAGCTTTAATTTAAATCTCTTTTTTTTCTTTTGGGGGAAAATTTTTGGAATTTCCGGTTATTGATTTTATCCTTTAAAAAAAAATTTAAAAAATGTTTAGTTTGGTGCCAGATAAAATACTCAACATTAAAACCAAAAAATTGCAAACAACAAACCTCAGTTCCCAAAATTTTTCCCCTGGGTGACTTTTTAAAAAAGCCTCCACGGTCACATTTAAATTTAAAGGCTTTTTAAAGGCTTTTTTTTTTTTTAATTTAAAATAAAAAGAGGTTTTTTTACTGTTTTGGGGTGCAAAATAGCACAGAGCGGCCTTGCCAATCTTTGGCATCCCATTTTTCGCTGTGCATCATTCATTCGACCCCCCTAAAAGCGGTGTCTGGGGACCAATGGAGTGCTCCGACCAGACTGATCATCTTAAGACACACAACCGTAACCCCTGCCTCCTTCTTCTCACTGAATTTTAATTGACAGGGGAAAGGGGGCTGGGGCCCCCACTGCTCTCAATGTCTTTGTGAGAGTGGAAAAAAGGGAGGGTCTGCAGACGGACTGCTGGATGGTGAAAATCTCTAATGTTTGGGGACAAGAGGCAGAACAAAATGGGGACTTCTCCTAAAGAGAAACACAAGGGTTACAACCATATTGATTTAAAAACTTTAAATACATTTTAAAACCACTTCCAGTCGGGACACTTTACCCCCTTCCTGCCCCGCCAATTTTCACTTTCAGCCATAAACATTTTGAATGCTTTTCTCCCGTCATGCAACACGTACCCAAATGAATTTTTTAGCTTTTTTTGAGAGGGATAAAATTTATTTTGTGGATTTTTTTCCCATTGGATTGGTTTTTTTTTTTTGCTATAAAAAAAAAAGTCCAAAAAATTTTAAAAAAAAGTGTTTTTCTTTTAAATTTTGCAAATAAATATCTTTCTTCGGGGGGGGGGGGGGGGGGGGGGGGGGGGGGTTAGTTTTTTTTAAAGTTTAAATTAACAACATACATAGTAATTTATAATTAAAAAAAAAACTTTTTTTACTTTTAAATTTTTTATATTATTAGTATTTTTTTTTTTTTAACATACTGTCCCCCTTTTCAGTACAGGCACCAATGACACTTTTAAACTTTGTGGGGGTGTAAAGATTTTTTTTTACTCGTTTGCTTTTATCCCCAAAATCGCAGCTAGCTCATTATGAAAACTTACCTTAAAAGAAGCCATCCACGTGTGCTGTAAAACACTGCAGAGGTTTCCCACTTCACCCTGTCTACCATTTTAAACTCTGAGCGCCCCCTTAGAAAGGGCTACCCATGTGGGCACGCTCCCAAACAAGGCTGTGTGCCCCTAGCACACAATGCTGGTAACCCCATCCCCCCCAGCTCCCTCCTCATGGGATTTTGACTGAACCACAGGGACCTAGGGCCCCACTGCTTCATAGTCTCCTATAATTTTTGTACAAATTTTTTAAATTTATTTAACTTTTGACATGCACTGGGGCCCTTTAGGGGTTCCTTTGGGCCTAGTATTATCTTTGGGCATAACTTGTTTGGTGTTTTTTTTAAAATTTTTTTTTTTTTTTTTTTAAAATTTTTTTTTTTAAATTTTTTGGGGAAAAAAAAAATTTTTTTTAAAAAAAAAGGGATTTACTTAAAAAAAAAGGATAAAAATTAAAGGGGGGTTTTGGTTTTAAATTGAAAAAAAAATTATTTGGTTGTTTAATTTTGACACCCCAAAAAGCCCCCCCCCCCAAAATCAACCCCAGCGAAAAAATAATCGAAAGAATTTTTTTGGGGGGTTTGCCCCTTTTTGGCCAAAAGGGGGTTTTTTTTTTTTTATCCCCCTATCCCCCCTTTTAAAAAACCTTTCCGCTTCCCCCAAGGTTTCTTATTAAAAAATGTGTAGATGTAAATAAAAAATCTTGAAAAAAAAACCCTTCAAACCCCCAACACCCCCCCCCCCCGCCCCCCCCCACCCCCCCCCCCCCACCACACCCCCCCCCTCCCCACCCCTCCCCACATCCCCCCCACATCACCCTTCCCCCTAATTTAAAAAAATTTTTCCCAGTAAAACCTTTTCCCAAACCCTTTGGTCTTGTTAAAGGC